TTATGTCCGATCTTCCCTGGAATACAGCAATAGCCTACTCACTATGTGCAGTACAACTACTTGCAACACCCTTGACAAGGTCCAAAACAATGCCCTTCGTTTTATAAATGGTGGCATGAGATCCACTCCTACCACCACGTGCGAAATCCTTACAAATGTTGAACCCCTGGGAATCCGCAGATATAAAGCAGTTTTGGAGCTACATGAAAGAACTAAAAGAATGTGCCCCAACCACCCAAACAGGAGATTAGTAGAAACATGGAAACCAAAGAAACGAATTCAACAAAAGTCAATCATGCATCACATCACAGAACTAATGGAGAGCCACCATCTACCACAAAACAGAAAAGAAACCAAAAGAGTCAACCAAAACATTCCTCCCCACCTTTCTTTAAAAAAGCCAATCATTACAACATCTCTCAAAGACAAGAGCACAAAATCTTCAGACCCAGTGACGCTGACGCTTGCATCACATCAAACAATCGACAGCTATTCAGATGACTGGATAAACGTCTAAATGGACGGCTCAGCATCCAAAGGCACAACCAAAGCCGGATATGGAATACTAATACAGTACCCAGATGGAAGTTCCAATGAGATCTCTGCAGCCTGTGGAGAGAAATGCAGCAACTACGATGCAGAAATGATGGCAATTGAAACAGCACTGTACCATCTCCGCACAGTTTTTGACACTCATCTTGGAAAAGCACAGAGCATTGTGATTTTCACTGACTCACTATCAGTATTACAAGCCATAGAAAATGACCATCATCTAAACCAAGATTTGACCCATATACTGTTTGGATCCCATCATCTGATAACATCCTGTGGCATCAACCTAGTAATGCAGTGGGTCCCCGGACACTCAGACATACCTGGAAATGACAGAGCAGACACACTTGCTAAACGGGGATCTAGACAGGAACAACCCAACACTCCAACTTCATACAACACTGCAAAACAAATCATCAAAAGCAACAACAAACAAGATTGGATGAACAGATGGGCCCTGAGAAAGACAGGCAGAGCAGTTTTCAAACATATGACCACAACAAAAAGGAATGACAATATATTAACCGCCTTCAGAGAAAGAAACAGACCATTTCTGTTAAATGTCTTTTGAACCGGAGTCAGCTGTGCACATGGCTTTGAGGCTCTGTTACGGATTTGGTTGGTTGAAAGACTGAAAAAGGTTTGGGATACTGCTTGAGGGCGAAAAAAACATTTTTTCAATGATTTTTTTGTGAGTTAGATATCTAGAATCTAGATCTAAGTAGATCTTTAACAGATTATGTTTCTTCTTCTTCTTCCTCGTTCTCAATGACAGCAGCTAGACAGTCAGTCCGATGTCGCACACAAACTGTGCAGTTCGCTTCAACTCTGAGAGACTGCCATAGAGCTTTCTCTCAAGAGGAGCCACATTCTGCCACGTCTGTGAGTGAAAGGTGACGTAGCGCTGGCAGTGCTGAAGGATATGGTTGGCATCCTCTTGGTCGTGTCCACATTCACAGATCGCTGACTCTCCTACTTTTAATTTGGTGAGCATATGGTGTTTGAGTCTGTTGTGGACATAATGGAGTCTAAAGATTGTGACCTGGTCTGCTCTATTTAGTATGTAGTAGGGGTCATGTCAGTTGTGGTTAGGATAGGACCTTTTCCATATGTTTTTTAAGGCAGATTTTATTAGTGTTTTTGACTATGAGAGATCCATGCCATCTTCAATCTGGGTCATTTTGGCTCCTTCTTTGGCTAAGTCGTCTGCTTTATCATTTCCATGAATGCCACAGTGACCTGGTATCCACTGAAGAGTTGTGTTGGCTTGAGAGTTTAAATCACATAGGAGTGAAAGGAGTTGTCGTACTTGAGCTGTTTGTGGCTTTTGGAGAGCTTGTAGGACAGATTTGGCATCTGTGAGGATGACGGTGTTGGCTTTAGATTTTTGGTGATTCAAGAGAATGGTGACTGCTGTTTCGAGTGCTGATGTTTCTGCTTTGTAATTGGAAGATAGAGATCCTGTAGGGATGGAATGGCTTTCTGTTGACCCATCTATCCACTCTATGTAGATACCTCCACCGCCGTTTCTAACTGCATCAGTTGCTGATCCATCTGTGTAAACTCGATTCCACCAGTTGCTTGGGAAGTTTCTGTCCAGGTAGTCGAGCGTCAGTGACTTGGGTATTGGAGGAGCGACTTCAGCTTTGGTGCTAAGCTTTTCTAGGTTCTCTCGAATTTGAGCGGGGTGATTAGACTGAAGGGGGTGGACTTGAAACGGGTCTAGTGGGGTTGGAGATTCTTCAAGAGAGATTTTGAGTCCAGAGCTGGAGTGTCTGGCCATATGGAGGAAGCTTGTTCTTTTTAAAAGCGTTTGCTCTGGCTTTTTGAAGATCTATCCTTCATTGGATGGGTTGGCATTCTTTTGACCTTTTCCTGATGAACAATCGCTTTCAGAACGAGTCTGTCGTTCAGGGGATCTAGCCCCGTTAGATGACCAGTGTTGAATCAGAACATCCCATAAAACTCAAAACCTAAACGATATAAAAAGGGCGGAAACTAAAAAAAACGGGTGAGAAAAATGCGTGGAGTAATCTCACCCCAGGTGAAAATACTCACACCAAAAAAATCAAGTTCATTTGAAGGATTTTGTAAGTAAAATAGAAATGCAGTATAATCCATTTTTATATTGATGGCCGATGTATTGACATTTTGACATATATATATATCGACATATTTTCCAATTACGAAATTTATCCCTCACTAAACAATTTCTCAGACTTTTTTTCGGCTCATTCTGCTTTATCGACATGCTTCCTGGGTACCTGGAGAAACCCACGAACATAAAAGGGGGAAAAAGCCACGCTTACGTTCAACGCATTAGTTTTTCATTAAAAGTTCGCATACACCCGCCGAACCAGGCTTTAGTGTAGGTCATGTAAGGCCAACACAGTATAGTCTCCAACACAGTACAGTGCCTTACAGACGTGAGCGTCTCGAGCGCTGGACATCACCTCCCTACCCCCACTCTTGATCGCTCACTCCCCTTCTCCATCCCATTCTCAGTCTGTCGCTGGCAAGTGCCACGGTCAGCGAGTCATTTTCTCGCCTTTCCAGTTTCCCCAGCAAGTGGCCATAAACAGGCCTTACAAAAGGATGCTGGTAACAACAAAGTTTGAAAGGTGTGTAGTGTGCGCCTCTCGTTGCTCGGTCTTTGGTAAGGTAACTCCTACCCCCCCCCCCCCCCCCCCCACCTCCTTCGTGCCTCTTGTTAGTTTCACTTGTGACTTTCTGCCTAGTTGTGTAGGAATCAATGGTAAGCAGCAAACAGCTTAAAAATGTAGTGTTGTTTTTTACCCCTGACCTCCCCTCGTTTTTTCCTCTTTGGCTTAAAAATACATTTCATTTATCGACAATTTTATATATCGACATCAAATCCATTTCCCAGAGCACGTCGATATTTAATAAGCAGATTATAACTCTAGAAGTCTTCTTGTTTCTTGGTTATCCTTCGAGCTCCTTCGTGTCCAAGTGGGTCAATTTGTTCTCCAATTTCATCAGTTGAGCATCTAGGTGGGTCCGAATAATGACCAGATTACTGGCACCCTAGGGGTTCGAATTACGGCAGCCATAACAAAATAACATTCTCTATGATAAAAATAAAAGACGTGGACCTGATTTATAAAAGGAAGAGGCTAGCCGTACTTAATGACGGCTAGACTGGCAGTCTAGCCGTACTTAAGTACGACTAGACAGCTGGGCTAGCCGCACTTATTCTTAATATGATAGCTAGACCGACCATAAAAAAAAATTGGCCTACTGAATTGTAAATATAAATTTTTTGTTAGCAGTACCTAAAGTATTTGTATTTGAGATGAAACCAGGTGCCTTAATGACAGAGCATGTATTATAAACCTCCTGTTTTCTAATGTTAATAGGGCCTAAGATAAGTACGGCTAGACTGGCAGTCTAGCTGTACTTAAGTACGGCTAGACTTCTTGGCTAGCCGTACTTAAGTACAGGTAGACAGCCAGGCTAGCCGTACTTAACTGATTCTGTTCATTCGGCCGCTGACAGCGGCTCTGAGTTTTTCCGCTGCCTCCATTCGGCCGCTGTGAGCGGCTCAACGAAATCCGAAACAAGGTGCACTTTTTAACATAGTTCCCACTTTTTAAGTTGTCGAAAGGAGTTAGAACTTGTAAACAAACCTGACCTCAGTCTCTGAGCGCCAACATCGATCGAAACTCCGCGAAATTCTTGGAAAAATCTTTGTTTTGTTGTAGAGATGTAGGCTAGATCTAAGGGTAAACAACACGGAGCCTGGTATAATAAAAAGGCCCTTCAAAGAAAGATATTCAACTAAATTCATGAAATTCTTGTATAAATGTGTGCTAGGGTGATATTGCTACAATGTTGTGTTCATTCCTATGGATTATTAGGACTTGTAGAGCTGAGAAAATGCGGTAAGTCGAAATTTTCGAAGAGCTCCTGTTGCGCAATTTTTTTTTCTCATTCGTTTTTGTCTGAAGGAAAATGCAATACAAACAAATTATAGGTCATTGTTATTGATATAAACAGATTCCTCTATTTATTCCCATCAGTTTGGTTATTATATTTTTACCTGAATAATTACTAGATCTAGATCTAATGAGACCTGTGTACTTAACAGGCTTGAGGCTTGAGTCGATTGGGCCAAACCTAGATCTAAGTACGGCTAGACTGGCAGTCTAGCCGTACTTAAGTACGGCTAGCCACTTCGATAATATAACGGTGAACGCCCACCGGGTGAGAATAGCCAAAAGACTCGCCTGCGCTATAATTCTCATCCGGGGTGAAAATAGAGGTGGCCATCTAGATCTATATATCTAATGAGACCTGTGTACTTAACAGGTTTGATCGAGTCGATAGGGCCAAACCTAGCTAAGTACGGCTAGACTGGCAGTCTATTTAAAAATAAAAGCCACTTCTTCGTCTTCGTTTATAAAATTTAAGTTTAAGACAAGACTCACAACTCTAGCATCCATTCTCCTTCCAGTGTCCGTGTCCAGTTAGCGTCAGTAACCGTGATGGGCTCCTTATTTTTGTGATCTTGCACACTAATAACACCACTTATGACGCATGACAATATGAAAATAAGTGGTGTAAGGTCCTTCAGATCCAAGTCCAATGATTTAACTCTGAGTCTGAACGCCATTTAAAAAGAATGTCGTCTGGGAAATGGTAAAAAACTATACAGCTAAAAAAGATATATCTAGTCTCAGTCATGTGGTTTACACGGTATTTACTGCCAATATTATTAGACCACAGGTTATGTTTATAAACAGCTTCCTTGCTATCTAGAAATCTCGTCTTCTCAAGAGTGTTCGGTTGCAGTAGATCGTAAAAAAGAGAAGTCAGAGTGATCCGGTAAGAGGGAACAGTAGAAACCGGAAGTTGACACTCAAAGGGTAATGAACTTCGAAATGAAGAGAGCCGGAAAAGTTTTCGAGAAATATCGCGTATTCCTGTCTTTAAAAACGATTGAGTTTGTAATTGATAGTTCGCTCGTTTATTTGTTTTACTCGAAATATAAAATTTGGTTTGATTATCAGTAAGGTTTTCCCTCTCAGAAAACGCTAGATTTCTACAATTGGCAATACATTAATTTTGACCGCTAGGCTAGTACAATACTGTATAACAACGATAACAACAGCCAAGATTAGATAATAATATGACGATAGCTATTGTTATAATTCTGTTGAAGCGACCACGTGTCGTTGCAACTTGAGATTATGACAATGTCTGCTATCTCTTGATCCACCCCTAAAACTTTTTTAAGTGTAAGCTACTGCTGTCATTATCTCACCCTCTAACCTACTCTTTTACACACACACACACACACACACACACACACACACACACACACACACACACACTCACATTTCAGAACTGCTATACATAATATTCACTGCATACTGCACGCCCGCTCCCCATTTCGATACGGTACTGATAATGAGTAAAGGAGTAATTTAAGGGGGATTGCACAACGTTGTTCCAACAGCAGTGATATCTGATTTTTAATTTTTTTTTTTTTTTTAAATAAAAAAAAAATTTTGGGGGGGGGGAAGGTATCTCTATCGTGACTGAAATGCTCCTCAAAGTTTTAATGTCAGTGTGATCTAGATCTAATTTTCTATCATGTGTTATTTAAACACATGGTTTTAAAAAACAACCTTTTAACCACTCAAGCTGGTGTCAATGGCTTATAATACCCCCTACCACAAATTAAACAGAGTAAAAACACAAAGAACAATTTGGGCACACATCATCATTGCTTTTCTCACCCTGCACCAAGGTATAGGCCACGCACAAACACTAAACACCTTTTTCTATCCCGCGCTAGCCTGTCGATGATATTCCATGTCTTTCCACTTTCCTGTAAAATCAATTTCTGTGATTCTTTGTCAGGTTCCAATGTGTCTTCCCCGTGATCCTTTACCCTGTGGATTCCAATCCAACGCTTTCTTTGTTATGCAGCTGCCAGACTTCCTGAGAGTATGTTCAATATAATCGCCAAAGCCTTCTTTCTACCTCATCTCTGACAGGGATCTGTCTTGTTTTCCTGAACACCAACTTCCTTGTTAGTGATCCTGTCTGTCCATCTGATCCTCAGAAACTTCCTTAGACACTTGTTCAAGAAAACCTAGATCCTCTTTAAATTGTGCAAGTCTGAGATGCGTTCCAAGTCTCACATCCATACAATAGGACTGACTTCACATTTGAACTGAAAATCCTCAACGTGAGATATCCGTGGTCTTCCAAATCCTATTCAAAGATATGAAAGCAGCGTGTGCTTTTCCAATGCGGGATTTTATTTCAGCACCTGTTCCCCCCTCTATGTCAATTATACTCCCAAGATAGAAGAAGGATTCAACGTTTTCCAGTGCATTTCCTTCTATTGTGACCTTGCACATCTGTCCTTAGGACCGTTGACTATCCTGGGTGGATCCTCAATCCAACAGACTTAGATGTAATAATAGGCTGTTTAATTCTGACGTTTTTGCTTGCATCTGTTCCTGAGTATGTAATAGAAGCACATAGTCCAACTATGTCCATGGGGTCCACTGCATATCATTTCTGTGTCCTCTGGCGGTTTCCTTCATCCGTCAATCAACTGCCAATATGAAGAGGAAAGGGGATAGTAAATACCCCTGTCTCACGCCAGTCTCGGTGTCAAAGCCGTCAGTGAGCTGGTCATCATGTACAAACGTGCAAACTTGCCCCTCCATACATGCTCTTGGTGAGATTTACTAACTTCTGTGGGATTCCATGATGTCTCAGTATCTTCCAGGGTGTTGCTCGGTTTCAAGGAAGTTGACAATCAGCTGGGAGTTCCACTCCAGGGTCTGTTCCACTACAAAGAGGTTATACAGTACCGGGTAATGGAGGCTGCTCTGTGGGCGGCAACACACGCCTGACAGAAGCCCTCTCTCACAGCGGAACCATGGTCAACCTGCCCCGATTCTCGCACTGAATTCTAGATAGGGAAGAGGGTTTTATTCTGAGGTCCTTGAGTTTATGAAAGTCTGTAGACTTATTTTATGTTTTAAAACCCATTTATCTCATTACTATTACTGATGTCAAAATACAGATGTCCTTGCGGCTCCATATTATTTTTTAAATATAAAATCCAGTACCTGCTCTATAACAACGGCGAATAACGTCTTTGTTAAAGAAAGATGAAAGAAGGGGGTGGTTGGGAAGAGTTTGGGTCTCATTTAATAGTAATGTACCCGGTTTAATCTATCTTAGTAATCTCCACCTGAGATCCAATCGTTTATGATCCCGGTTCACTTTAAAGATTCCGTTGTTTATAGACAAATAAAGAAGCAACCCCTCGAAAACAACACATTTTATTACAGAAAAGTCGCACCTAAGATCTCGCTCTGGAGTCTGAAGTTCCCGCATTTTAGATCACGTTTTACTGAACGAAAAAATCTTCATTGATCATCCACACTCGTATGATCACATCTCCGCTCTAAATTTCTCGACGAGTGGTACAATGTTCGCCCCAGGCGCAAGCAGTAGGGGCCTTACAATGAAAGGATCACATCCAGGTGTGAACTTTTCGATGCCTTTATCGATTTCTTCGAACATTGAACTTCAGCAAGGCGTTATTCAGAAGGCAGAGCCAACAAGGCCACATCGGATGGGATCACATCGAACTGTGATTTCATCGGTGCTTTTGTTTCCATGTGTGCCTCCGAATTTGCTAGACACTTTACACCTGTACTCTGGGACTGTCCGATCGCCTTTGTGTAATGTCGAGCCAACCTTTCTTTTTTCGAATTTTAATTGGTGCGTTTACTAAACAATGATGAGTTACGACCTGAATATGAGCGTTGATTTCGTTCAGAGATGAAGGGAAGCAATAAATTTATACTTCACTGGTAAAGGGGAAGAGCAGTGAGTGAGATAAACGCCTTATTGTTATTAATAGGCTAAGTAAGGAACCCAACGACACAAGCTAACAATTAAGATCGTAGTATTTTTGCTCATCAGTACAGTTTGTAAAATTTTATCCCATTTTAAAGGACAAAGGATAGGCCCCTACTGTGATTATTATTACATTTTCAATAGTTAAGACCATTG